GAAGAATCCAAATATATATAGTTTGTGTGGGGTATTCTTACGAAATAAAAGAGAAATCGGCAAAACAATGCAATCGTTCCCACCCAGCGGGGGGTTGACGGATGACGTAATCACTTTGACGTAAGACGGCGCCATGACAACCATCACCTAAGCAGTATATTTGAATAGTATGCATATTTAAAAACCAGTCAAGTGCGAATCGGACTCGCGCACGAAGGGTTCCGTACCATTATCTAAATAAATATTTTTATATTGAATTAAATGTAAATTGCGGTTGTGTTTTTTTTAATTCGTCATATTATTTTTAAATAATATGACGTATTTAAAAAAACAAATTACTTGATATCGTTCAAATCAACTTTTGCTAGAAGTTTGCATGGGACAGACACGAGCTTTAATCTGGGCCCCACCTTTGAATATCGTGTAGCAATCTGCTGCAAGCTGTATAAAGCTAATATTTTAATGCAACGGCAATGTCATAATGTTTACCATTGACAACTTTATGTTTCTAGGGGCAACCATGCAATTACGTCATCTGAAGCGACAGCAAAAGATCATTTCCGATGTTATGTTATGTTCCGTTTCCGAATTATACTTTGTAAAAATGTCACATTAAACTGTTTTCTTCACTGACACTGACACGAAATAGTATTTTATAAAGAGGTTATCATTTCAAGGGTCGATTCGTTATGACATTATGTCATCAAAACACTATCAAACTAAAATTTCGACCTTATTGCATTATGAATTCTAACAACATTTAGTGGAAATGGGTCCCATATTAAATTTATAGACCTATCAATTTTATAGACCTATCCATACCCCACACGTAAAGATTTGATAAAAAAAATTCTAAGTCCATACGTTTTTTTTTCTATTTTTGTATGAATATCGTTTTTTTGCCATTTGGCTACGGAACCCTAAAAATGGTGAGCAAAATAACTTATTGGTCTGCGTTTTTGTTGAAAAGTCGACAATATACGTCACGGCCGTCTACGTCTGTTAGAAATTCCCGTCTAAACGGGCATTGATAATATTGGGAAATTATTAAGCTAATAATAATACGCTAATTTCAAGAACCTTACTAATTGCCTGATAACTTTTTGATTTGATCTCATGTATAATTATAAGAATAAAACATTTTGTTACTATTTAATTTTAAACTCATTGTATCAGAAGTTGCTTTTTTTTATTTCGATCTCGATTATAATAATAAATACTTAAGCTTAAGCATCTACTGAGGTAGGTACCAAGTTAATTCGTTTACATTTTTTGATTATTTAACTCAATAAAAATTTATAAGAATCAAAATTGTTTTTTATTAACTTTCACTTTTATAAATAATACATACCCAAACCAAATAAACACATCCACTCAGACAGTAAATAAAATTTTTGTAAGGATGGCGCCCAGTTTGAGCATGACAAGTACAGAATTCCATTTTCCACTGCAATGGAAATAGTGGGACAAATGTTTCCTCCAAATTATTACTTATTTCTATTGCGGTTAAAAAACGCAGTTGTCTTTTTTTTAAATAAATTTCTAAGGAGATATTGAGAATTTAATCTATAGAATAAAATAAAAACATAACTTCTCGTTAATTATAAAAAATAAATAGAGAAAAAATTAGGCATATTTTGAGTTTCTACTACTCGTGGTGACCTACACGAATGATTTTCTGATAGATTTTTATTCCCTTCTCATCGTATTTATTCCTTATATTTAGCCTTTGTTTTTAGTTCATTCTTTCAATCACGCAGTAACAAAATATGTAAGCCCAGTGCATGATCTGCGTAGATACATAATCATTGACGTGTTCAGATATTTTTGAAAAGTTGTATGTTCAGATATTATTGACAGGCATCTGCTCAGATATTATTGAAGTAATGAATGTTCAGATATTTATGGTCACTTGTACCGTATAGAACTTAATGACATTTTAACTGTTCAGATGTATTTGGTCACCTTGTATGCTCAGATATATCTGATGGCGACTGTACTTCTTTTAGGATCAGAACCTACGCGTAGGTATGCGTTGACGCATATAATCATATCATTTATGTATATTTTTTTCTAGATAATTCAGAAAACACAAAAGTGTCCCTTAGCCAATTAGATATTATATATTGTTTACGTATTTCTCTACAATGACGTTTGTAAAAGTCACATCGCTAGTAAACATTGTGCTTCAAAAGCTCGACTTCTCTATAACCTTCACAAATCAAAACAGCGATCGCTGCTTGATCTGATTTGATATCACATACATAGTCGGCGTAGGTGTCAGACAGAATCAGGGCTTTCATCAGCTAGAAATTAAGAAGACGTATTTGTATAGCCTATATTCATGTAGCTTAGACTTATTTGTTATTTCTTCTATAGGTAAAGTAACAGTCAAATTATCATTTTTCACTTCACTTATAACTATTAACTGAACCTTTTCTAAAACAAACTTTTTTTTTCTAGTTATATTTTCTTTAGATTTAAACATCAAGCAGTTACAACATGCTTTAAAAAAAATAAAAATTGTAACTTTTATTCATAATTTCAAATAAGTATAGTCTTTGATCGTACATTCTTAAAATGTAAAATCTTAAATTATTTAAATGTAAAATCTTCATTTAAAAAAATATGGGGTAGGGTACACTAAATATGGGGTTTAGAAGTTATAGAGGGAAATTAGTACTTAAATCAGTTATAATCGGAGGAAATGATCATGATATGATGATGAGTGCGTTTGTTATGTTTAATTAAAAAAGTATATACAAACGTTTTCTCAAATTCCTCGTTATTTAAATTCTTCGTTATTATCACATTAATATTATAAAGGCGAAAGTTTGTGAGTGTGTGAGTGTGTATGTTTGTTACTTCTTCACGTCTAAACGGTTGGAGCGATTTTAATAAAATTTGGTATGGAGTTAGCTGACACCCTAGATACACATAGGCTACTTTTATCCCGAATAAAATGTTAGGTTCCAGAGGGATTTTCAAGAAACTAAGTTAACGCTGACAAAGTCGCGGGAGACCTCTAGTATCATATAATTGTCTGGAATTTTCGGGGTTTCGAAAAATTTCCTCGTCTGAAAATACTAGATTTCGTTGCACACATAATGTAGTGATTAACCAACGTTGAAGACGGATCGCAGCAAATAGAGATATGGATATATGCATGATTCTATTTAAGCAGCTTACAAGAATCTCATTTTAAATTCTTGATTAGGCGTACGTCAACCCTATCACTCGGTCACATTCAGTCAGTAATCTGGCCGTTGCCTTATACGCCGTGGAATGTGGCCCGGACCTCGCGCCAAAAAGGAGCTGCCTCTTAAACCAATGGTCCAGAGATGATGTGCACTTGGATCGAAGACCTTGGTAAAAGGGGGCTTATGCAACGTTAGATTGCATCGGAGGCTTTACGAGTAATGATACATTATTTGGGATGTGATAAATATTAATTTGTGGTTAGGTAAGGACTTGTAGACGTGAGGTGTGTTTTTCAAAGACATTGTAGATGTATTTAAGCAAAGATTGGATTCAATTCTAGCATGATTATGTAAACCTAAACTTAAATTTGACAACATTGTACTTATCCTTGTTTGGTGTTGTTGCACTAGGTACACTACATCGTTGCACTCACTTCGCAAACTCTGTGTGCGTGATTGATATACATACGAGTAAAAGAAACACGTAAACGGTTATTTTACTAAATCAATTATGAAACAAATTATCACACACAAAGTTTATTAGAACTTTATTGAGGAGTAAACTATTTTTTATTTTTAATATTTTTTTTTGGTTCTGTTTTATTTCTAACGCACATGTAGACGTATAAATTTGGTCTTAGAATTCTGAGGCACTTAGAATGATTTGAAGACTATAAGGTTTTAAATATTAAATTGAACTAAAACATGTAAGAAATGGTATAATAAAAAATAATCAAGTGTTTTCCTACAATAAAAAAGGGTATTCGTAAATACAAAAGCGAAATTTTAATTGCAGATGAGCTTCTCGAGCATTATAATATATTATTGTGTCACTGTACAATTATAATTTGACATTTTGAAATAATTTAACCTTGACGTTCCTATTCTAGTAGATGATTTGATCGTGGCAATCGTCGGAATTCGTTTAAGAGTTTAACATGCGCATAGTAGTTAATAATTGTGATTGAAAGTATAAGTAAAAAAGTCTTGACTTCTGACAACCGATCCTGACATAACTTCTTTCTCTTCTTCTTTAACTATTTCTAAATTTTAAAACTTTTGAATTTATTTATGAGAATTTTGTATTCAAATATTTGAATGTTTACCTTATGATTTACTGAATTCTTATAATCTTCTATGAACCAAACCACGAACTAATAACTAAGTAGTCTATTGTGCATAGATAAAATCACATGGACATATTTCGCCGATTGCTAATGTAGCTTGGAGTAGTGCCTTCGAAATAGGGATAATGGTGATACATAGATAGATACCTATCCAGCTCTTGTAAATCAAGTTTAAATCCTACATACAATTGTATACTAAACTAAACACGTATATCACTGAGCTAGAGCTCCTCATAAATTACTCTGGAATCATGGGTATTGTTATTTAAAATGCAATTTAGATACGTAGGTATTAAACGCTTACCTCAAGACCATTAAGGAAGTACACAGTAATGGCATGCGATGTGCTTTTAAGGCAATAAATGATAGACTCGAGCACTGTAGCGAGACAGGAAAAGCTGAAGATTTATTAGGATCAAACAACTAAATGATTATACTATTATAACGCAACCAAAAATGGAAGCTGGTGTGATTATGTATTGTGATTTGCTTGTTATACTTGAAATTTATTGCTATCAAAACACGACTGTTGGTGGAATTCAAATTATAGTTTGCAAGCTTTCATGATTCATACTTCTAATCACAAAAATAAAATTATTTGCAGTTGCAATCACACATTGAATAAAGTTACAAAAATCATGGTCTAATATAGTATATTTTTCTTTTATTGCAGAGCGTCTCGATCAAGATGATGGCTGCCACATGGATAAAAGCGAACGAGTTGATGACTACGTAAGCATCACCACCGGGCTCCGCAAGACAGACTTTTCGGATACTTTCTATAGGAACAAAAAACCCTCTATAGATGACAAGTCAAATCGCGGCAGTCCTGAAAGGATAGTAATCACTGAAAACAATGACTCGCCAAGTAAAAGTCTTAGACCATCTAGGGAAGCCACAGAGTCACCGACAAAAACTATTAAAAATCGTCAGGCTAGTCGCATACCACATTCCCCAGTTAGGTCTAAGACTCCAAGCCGGGGAAACACACCGAGTCCAAAACATACTCCCAACCCAGTTCAGACATCGCCCAAGCTTACGCCAAAATTACCCCCTACAGCTAGAAATACGTGGAATGGCAGAACCGCACCTAACCAGAATAAAACTAAAGCGAGGCCTACCATAGGTGCGGAAACTTTCGAAAACCCCAATAAATCTCCAAAGACCAAATTGAAAGCAGCTGTGCAAAGTGAAGCATTTAAAAGAAATTCTCCTCTGAGAGCTAGCAGTGCTACACTGAGATCACCACCTAATCAGAAACCTTTAAGTCCATTGTTAGAACAGATATTGAGGTCTGCTGAAACAGCAAAAGACGATGCCACTGTTCTGGCAAAAATGAAAGAAATCATCAGATCTTATTCTAAAGGTGATAACGATTCTCTCTCCAGAACAAGTTCAAAGGACTCAGATTACGCCGATTTTACGTCGGCTTGGGTAATGTCTGACGGTAAATTGGAACGATCAATGAGTACGAGGCAGCTAGCTACGCCAAGGAAAGACCAGAGAATTGGCCCCTCTAGGATACCAGCTCCCGTAGCGATTGGTTGCAGGAGGTCAACGTCTACGTCTCAATTTCAATGACAAGGAGACTCACAAGACGATGAGGAAGTAAACGATAAATGACCCAAAAAATAAACTGGACATCCTCCAGTGATTTGGTGTCTGAAGTCAAAATAATGTCACAAACAAATGTTGCACGTGGTTTTGAAAGTTCCAACATGAAGGTAATTGCGAGTTTATAAGACGAAGTGTTTTAAAGTAGTGAATAACCCAGTGGCATTATGATATGGAAATGGTAGAAAAATACCTAGATAAGATAGTAACATGAAAAATTTAAATAAAAATTAATTATCTACCTTATACTCCTTAGAAGCTATTTATCATTGTGGTGGTAGAGGTAGAAGCGATTCGGTGTTTTTTAAAATTCTTTAACGATAGGTTCTTGAAATTAGTATTTATGAAATAAATTTATCAAATTTCAAGAATACTTTCTAACATAAATAGGTATAGTACCTACTAATTATTATATCGACTAGATGACTATACTAACGATTTTAACAGCTTTGTAATGAATCAAAATAATTACAGCAGAAATCTGCTAAATAGGTACATCATGTACTCAGTATATATTTAACAGTGACTAGGTAATTTTTTCTGATAAAATGTTGTATTTATCTGCTCTTAAAGTTGGCTAAGGATGGTGCTAAGAAGAAAGCGTTATTTGTGTTTAGTAATTTTTTATTTTTAGTAAGTAACTTTTTAAGATTCGTCGACTTTACAAAAAAGTAAGGTAACACAAAATAAAAGTCAAAAGTTATCAGAATTAAATACAAAACACTAAGAACTATATTGACTTTGACTTTTGGTGGTACTCTACTTTATTTTATTGTCATGTTTTTATAAAGATTTACTGTAGATCAGTATAATATAATGATCGGCTTATTTCTAAGCAATAAGGAAAAGTTTTAAAATTAGACATTGGGTCGACATATTATATTTTTTTTTGTAATTAATTTTTAGTTAAGTTTTAGGTTAAGCTTTTGATACCCCGGTAAGACAATTGAAGACAAACAAACATTGTTCAAAAGGCATTGTGTATGCATTTAGTTAAAAGTTATATCATTCCATGATTATTTGAGCCGGGACCATTGGCAATTTCTAATATGCAGCAATCTCAAATCTTTTATTGATTTCTGGTGGGTTGTGAAGGGTTAGGAGCTTATAAGATATCCGTAGTGTATCTTCAATACATATAAACTAGAATATATGAGTTCAAGATAAGGTGATATGGTATAAAATCAACAATAACATCCATCGTCATACCTCATTTAGTATACGTAAATATTGAAAGAGATATTTTTTCACTAACCTTTTTAAAGACAAAGTTAGGAAGCCATATAACCGTCCGATTAGGCATGGCATATTATAGAGGAAATATCAAATAAAGATAGTAACTTCCTTCATTGTCATGTAGAATTTAATGGATTTATTAAATTTAATGATGGAAGTGGCTAAGAGCTCGATAACTCATTGAGCATTCTTCTTTTTTATAACTCTGTAATTGAGCCTGTATTCTTTAATGCCTACCTAAGTTAGAGTATTCTTTAAACTTTTAAATATATTTTTATGCTCTACTAGGAATAGATTATAATGCTCTGCCCGATATAATGTAACATGTCGCTTATTGGCATCATTGCTGTTTTCAAATTGTTGAAACGATGGTAAAGCTGACATTTTACGTCTTTTCTTCATGATGCAGTAATGGTTGTCAATCAGTGAATGTACATTTTATTATGTATGGTGCTTAAGCGTTCACAAATGAAGAATGCTTTAAGTATGCTCTTAAGCTATTTGAGCAACCTTGCTATCACAATTAACAAAGCATTATTATACTGTCATAAATGTTAATATGGAGCCATTTTACTTAAGATTTTTTTTTAGTCCGCCAAGGATAATATTTTGGTCCAAATTTTTATGACACAAAACTATTATGACATTGTAATAAAGCTTAAACTAGAGGCTAAGTGAATCTTAGTTAAGTTACTGTTTCTTCGACATAACGTTACCAGTGACTATGCCATAGAAATTGTTATTATTTCACTGATTAAATAATTAAAAACACGACTTGTTTCATTTTACTATCAGGATTACAGTACATCTAAATATTATCTAAAGCCGGCTACTCGCATGCCTGCCGCAATGGCGTAGTAAGACTGCAGAACTAAAGAAGAGACGCGGGGGAATGTTAGGGCTCATAAGTTACTGAAGATCCCATAATTTCAATATTAGACCAAGTATAATTAAGCTTATAATTTCGAAGTAATATTTATGATGTCATATTTGCTGGACCTTAACCAATGAGATAAACGCCTGCCCGAGTACGAAGACTATTATCCTGTAAAAAGAGATTGCTTTTTGCGACTAAATTGTATGCTTGGCTGCAGTGCAGTAATAAATTTCTAATATTGTCTAAGTACAACTCCTTGTATTTCATTTCGGTCCGTAACAGTCAATGTGACATTAGTTGCTCTTTCCCAAATATATATTATACTAGCTGGCCCAGCGAATTTCGTACCGCCTTAAAAATAGGGGCAGGTGGTAGAAGAGAAAATTTAGGGTTGTATGTATTTTTTAATACCACATTATAAAAAAATAAATACCTATGTCCAAAATAACATTCCTCCTAACCCATATGAGAACACTACGTTACAATACCCAATAGTTTGAATTTTGGCGCGAAGGCGCAAAAGCAGGTTTCAGAACAATACGTTACAGGTGGACAACCATTATCACTTACGGATATGAAAAATAGATAGTAGCCGATTCTCAGACCCACGGAATATGCATATGAAATTTAAAAAATCGGTTAGGCCGTTTCGGAGGAGTATGGTAACTAACATTGTGACACGAGAATTTTGAAAATTTTGAAAATGAAATAGTTAGCAGCATTTTTAATAAATACTTAGCAATTTACGTTATCTACTTAACGTGGAGGACACTTGCGGTAAGATGTGGAAGGTATTTTTTGGAGTGTGTATGCTGTTCGTAGCCTGTGGCCTGTACTATGTCATCGAATGCCTATAAGAGATTACAAAATTCTTAAAAGACCTCCATTCGAGAAACCGCTGGTGGCTCTAATAGATTTCTGGGCAGAGGTCATCTTTTGTGGAAGGAATCTATGGTCCGCGGTAGAGTCACTAAGTCAGTGAACCTGAAATCCTTCGCAACCAGTCGTGGCAGAGGGCGAAGCACAAACTTTGACAGTTCCGTAATCGTATCGTCAATTTTTAATTGTGTAAAGAAAAAGCTAGTTTGTTCTTACGTCCGATAGGGGCGCTGCTCAGTTTTTATCAAAGTTTCTACTTTGACGATCTCTTTGCAACTCCAGTACCCTTAGCATGAACCAAAACCGAATTCGAATAGTTTGCGAGTTCAAAATGTCATTGTCAAATATGTACTGATTTTTAGTTCTCGTTACGTCCGTTATAGTGCTGCTGTTCAAATTTCCATACAAAATTTGACAATGACATTTCGTACTACACACAAACGCATATAAAACAAAAATGTAATTACGACACTCACACATAAACAATGACACAATACATCGCCAAATCCTGCACACATACATGTTTTTATACCCAATTTGTATGCCTAACTCGACAGAGGAGAAAGCTGTGTATGGGTACTCCCGTCCTGGCCGCGTCGGTCGTGTTGCTCTATGTTTATAATAAACTGATGATAACCCTGTGTGATAACCATAGACTACATAAATCTATGGCCATAACTATAATGATTCTTGGTAAAATATGTGACAACAGACAATATTATTTCAGATACAAGACACAAAATCATTGACACAGGAAAAAAACAAATCCTCTGTCAATGTCAATCAGTTGTCAGTGCTGAAACACAATAATCTCTCTGATGACCGGAATATTGTGAGCCCGTGCCTAATGCACCAGTTCCGGGCTCCCATCGGAGGAGGATGAGCACCAAAATCCTCGTCGCACACTTCTGGGAGACCGCCTTCTTCCTCCTCATACTGTTCGCTGCGTACCTGTCCATAAGGGGGCTTGTGAGAGCCACTAGACGTTCCAGGTGCTAAGTCAGTGTTTCAATTACATCACACGGCTTCCAATTTCTGATAATATAGCTGGGTGAGTCTCCTAAGGGTTTTCAATTGGTTTTTCCACAATCGTCTTTTCCATCTCGCGCAAATTGTAAATCTTCACACAACTTTTGCAATACCTATACAAGATTTTGTAAATAAGTGTGAAATTATATATTTCTCGGTAATATGTTATTCATTTACTTACTTACTTTGCGGGAAAATGTGAAATTGTGAGGTAAGAGCAATGACAAATGTGGAACAACAAACCGCAAAACTATGCATTGTAAGTCGCGTCATCAATATTTTTGGGGTATAAATAAATTTGATTTTTACTTTATTGTTTATAAAAGATCTCTAGGGGGTCTAAAGTTTGCTAGAATTACTTGCCTACTTCCACAAACTGTGGATTTGTTAAAGGGCAACGCAGAAATTAGCTACAGGACAGTAACCTAAAAACGAATTCAAAAGTTATAGCAATATAAGTTATTTACGGGATTGTTACCATGTATCTTGTTTTTAGCGAGTTTCCGATATTTCGGCACTGTTGCAAGCGCCATGATCACGATGTAACTCACTGATCAAATGAAATGTGAAATGTTACATGGTAACAATCCCGTAAATAACTTATATTACTATAATGTTAGTGACCATGAAAGTTTAAAAGAATTCAAAAGTTAACAGAACAACAAGATTGTGGATCGGAGTACCCCTCAAATAAGTTTGTCAGTATTTGGGGTGCTAAATAAATGTTTACTTATTCGATTTATGTAATATGCAAACGTTTAGCTGTTGTCTAACGGTTTATTTCATTTTAGTGCATTACATTTTTATTTTTATTGCTATATAATATGAACCTGCAGAATATTGTTGCTATTAAACAATTCTTCGCTTCTCGCCTTCGGAAATACATAACAAACACCGAGATGACTTTTTAAACGAAGTTAGGTTTGAATTTCCGAAGCAATGGCATTTCTTTCATAAAATCAGATTTGATTGTGAAACTTTAATAATGAATGATTCTTTCAGATACAATGGAGCTGGATGCCATCTTATTAGGCTTGGTCCTGTATTTGCTCTTAGTTGGAATATGTTAGTACCTATTGCTTTGATTGCAGTAACCAAAAGCTTAGGTAAACTACTACATTTGGATCGCTTTTTAACGAGACTTGGAGGATGCGTATGAGCCACACTGGCTAGATATTGTTTATAAAATTTAGTCATACTATGGGCTTGACACATTTTTAATATTCACTTGTTAATACTACACTGAGGAGCTCGATGGCGCAGGTGGCTAGTTCGTTTCGTTTGCTTAACTTCAACATTTGACTGCGATCGTCTAAGTTAAGCAAATTTCGCAATGGTCGGTCATTGGATGAGTGAACAAAAATCTTCTATCTCAAGTTCCTCTGTGCTTCGTAAGGCACGTTAAGCTGTTGGTCCCGGCTGCATCTGTAGTCGTTAGCACCCGCTTATCTGCACTGGGCGCAGTGGGTAATGGTCCAGTCTTCCTATTTCATCCATAGGAAAGGCATGTGCCCCACAGTGGGGACATTTATAGGCTGATGATGAATACTACACTTGTTCGGAAAAATATACGTGGACGTATGTGTTTAACTGGTTATTCTACTGTGCATTTATTGATGCCACCATATTTTCCATTAGAGACGATTTCAACCCGGGTCTAGGCACGGTTTCACGTCCAAGTCTCGTTGTCAGTTAGGTATGAGACACTGGAGGTTTGTTAACGACACCAGCGCTAGAGATGATTTGGGGTCGATCCAAACGTACAAACCGTGCCCAAGTATAGCCGGCACCGGCCCGGGTAGAAATAGTCACGTCACGCGACAACAAGCGCCTTTAGTTTTCCTAAGTATTAGGGATAGAATTTACTTTTTTCATTGCCAGGCCAAATAGATCTAGGAAGTCAATAACATTGATATTATAATTTGTGGCAGTTAATGTCCATTAAAGTTAGTTGCAACCCGTATTTTTTACTGTCTATATTAATTCTTAGAGACGCGAAATCCTAATACCTATCTAGCTAGTATCTACATCCTATTGTGAGAAAATACATAGGTAATTAGTATTTTTTCTGCTTTGACTTGATATTAAATACAAATCAGGATCTTTGAAAAAGGGAACACTGCCAAGATCTGTATAGACATTGCCATAGTTGTCTTTAATACTTACAACAACGAAAAGCCGGTAAAGCTTAGATTATAAAACAAAAGGTTAAAAACCTTTAGTTCTGTAACCTGAGTGGTAAATATATTCTTCACTAAACGAGCATTACAAATCTTGAATTTCAACTGAGCGTGTTATTGGAAAGAGGTTTCTTTTTCAGTAGTAATCATAAATGAAGCGTTCTGCAAAGCAGCTTGCATGAAAAATGCACGACGGGTCCTCAATGAAAATCCTCCAGATGTCGAGCTCAATGAGAGGAGACCATCAAAGTACGCCACATCTTCGAAACCTACTCATCATGGCATAGGAGACGTAGCCTCAGATGGTATACACCACATGTAGTTCATCACTGCAGCCACAGATGGCGTTAGTTCCATTGTTGAAGCTGCTTCTCTCCGTTGCCAAGAGATGCCGACACCAGCGCGAAATAAACGCACACAATATTGAGAATAAAGTTTTGTAATAGTGGGGAAATGAATAAATATCATGGTTTTCTATTAAGCTTTTTTATTTACTATAAACTAATTAAAGCAGGCTTAATAAATAACCTAGTCGCTTACGTGTATTTAATAAAGTAGAAAACATTAATTGAACTCTAAATACAACTATAATACTACTTAATACTAGATAAATCATATATTTTTTAGGTTTCAAGGAATATTTTGTTCATGGGGACTTTGTCGAATATTTTGTTTGTCACGTCTTGAAATACCGAACTTAGGCTGTTCTCGTAGGATTCTTTCAGCTCGTTGAAAACAAGATCGGAGTTTTCATTCAGGAAACTGAAATACAAGATTAGGGAATGTTTTCAAAATGTAATAATAACCATATTTATAGGCTTTAAATTTAGCACCATTATTTGTTATAAATAGAGCGTTTGTCACAGTTAGAGCAATATCCTGATTCTACCGCTGGTTTTACCTATCGTTAAGAATTGATGATACGGTTTCAGAGTGGTCATGATCATCATTTTGCATTAAATCAGCAATCATCGTCACCATAATCAGCTGACGTCCACTGCTGGACATTGGCCACCTCTAGAGATTTCCATACACGTCGCTTTACGTTTCTCTCCGAGTTGCAATCAAATCAAATCAGCAATATCCAAGCCCAAAAATAATAGGGATAATGACTAATTTTTTTTTCTTCGTTTATCAGGTAGATTATCAAAAAGTGTTGGACACGTATTTTCTTTTTTCACATAATATAAACATTGCAGATATATTCATTTAAAAAGTCGCATGACATCACGTTTAAGTACACTTTTAAGTGAAAATTCACTAAAAAGTGACGTCACGAGCCCCTTCTACCAAACTTTGACGCGCTATAACTTTGTCATTTTTTGGTTGATTGGCAAAAGAAAAAATACGTGTCCATTACTTTTTGATCATCTAACTGACGGAATAAATAGAATTTCGTTAATGTCACCCCTATTAAAATGATACTTACATATTCATCTGGTCTCCGAGCCTCTTGTCCCCATTGAAGAGGTTCGAGAAGTACAGCAACACCTTCTTGGGTATGAACTTGACCCTGTACTCGCGGATGTGCATGTACGTCTGTCCGTCCCGCGTGACCGGCTCGCCGATCAGGTCGTGCTTCACCACCAAGTTCACTGGAATGCAAGTTACAGTCGGCTGTATTCTTGTGTATTCCTTGACTGTTCCCTTGAAGGTACATCAGCCACATAATCAAGTTTATATTAAAAGGGTGGTCAACAAGCCTATGGCCCGCCTGATGGTAAGTGGCCACCATAACCTATAGACGCTTGCGATACCAAAATTAACACTCGCACCGTTGCCCACCCTGACCCACCGCGTAGAACCCTTTTTTTCTTCGCAGGCAAAAAATACTATTTACAGACGACGGCGCCTTTAAGAGGCACACCGCCGAACGGACCTCACACCTGGCTCCCGCAAGCCTTACGAGCCCCAGCAGTGGCTGCCCACTGAGGACCCCGTACCTCTTACGGGCGCTTTACAGCATAATATCCGCTTAAAAACCCTGCGAATACCCTCTAAGCTGCATAGCGTGAAGCCGCAGGATCCCCATTTTGGGATTCTTCCGCGTCTACCGCGTAGAACCGGTAAGGTTCCAGACCTTACTCACCTGTCATTAACACAATAACCACCAAAATGTAGTATTGTCTTACTGTGATCTTAAGTATCAGTAAGTTATCATAAACTATATTTTTTTCCAACAGATTGTGAATCATAAATCAAAATTAGATAAAGGTCTTTGAAGGAATTTCTTAGTTTTGGACATTTACACCCAGTAGTACCCGAAGCTAGTTTAGTTTCACTTGGATCGAATGCTAGTTACCAGTTTCGTACCGAACTAGTCGGAGTATTACAAAACCTATAGAATTTACTTCCAGCATTTCCGTGAGATTGATTTGGGGATGTCTTTACAGTGGAAGATCTATGGCAAAAGCTAGTACCCTTGGCCATGAAACTCGAACTTAGTATAGTAAACAATATTTTTTGAAACTTGCTTATTCCAATTAATTACTTGGATTAGGCAAGGTTTGCCTGGAATGGTGTACTCGGTAGTGCGGTTGAATCATTGTCGAAGCTAAACAACTTTCATCATGGGCCATGACTAGGGTGGCCAGACTATATTTAAATAATATTGCGGAACAGAGTAAAGGAAAAGTGTATCGTCACTTTCGTTTGTCGAGAATCGTTATTTGTTGGGAGTCTGGAGAACACAAAAAATGTCAGGCAAATTCGGACGATTTCGGACTGTATGGGTAACAAAATATTTACTATCTCGATGTCCTTGTCTCGGTACTTGGTAATACTGGCTGCATCTGCAGTAGTGATGTAACGAATATTTGCATTCGCATTCGCATTCGCGAATATTCGCATATTTTTGAATATTCGCTTTCACATCGCATTCGCAAAATCTCTGCGAATGTTTTGTGAATATAAATATTAGAAAAAAACAATTTGAAGAAGTTGTAGTTTTGAAAGAAAGAAAGAAGAAAGAAAGAAAGAAAATACATTTATTTTGACACAAACAACGAGACAGCAGATACAAGATTTTGAGAACAAAAAATACAAGAAAAAGAAAAATTATCGTAAACAAACAACACAAAAAAGTAACACACACTAATAACTAATAATAACTGTCGTTACAACTATGATTTATACTGTTTCTATCTCGCGGCTGCGCCAAAACAGGTTGTCAATTCAGCATGTTGTCAGGTTTGTGGGACCTGATGCTGATTTTCAATTGACACCTATAGTTCTCTTGACAACTGACTATCGGCATAACAATATAAGAGAAGAAAAAAAAACAAAAAAACAGAAACACATACTCGCAAAATTATTTAGAAACAATTTATCATCTATATCACATTCAATATTATCATACATAAATTAGATACGTGTATATACATTTTATATTGACAGACACGCACTAAGGACAAAAAAAAATATATACATATAAATATATTCATACAGCAACCAAACAATACAATACGTAAACTCACAGAAAAAATATATGTATATATATAAACAGACACACCCTCACACACACACACACACACACACACACACATATATATCTATATAAATGAGGAATCACCACGATGTAGGCCCATTTCCCGCTGCGCATCAAGTAGATATTGCTTTAATCGATGTTTGAATGTGTAATTCGAATTGATCTGCCTCAATGGTGGTGGGATATTGTTCCATATTTTGGAGGCTGCACAACGGAAAGCACCCCTAAAAGATGCAGATCTATGCGCAGGCGTAGCCATTTGCTGTGAGCATACTCGCCTTTCACGATCTCTCTGAGCTCCAATCCAGCCAAGCCTCTCGTACAGGTACAGTGGTTCCTGTGACTTAATCACTCCAAAAAGCAGGCAAGCAAGGTGTAGTTTTCGCCTCGACTTCATCTTCAAGATGAGATGGTTATTAAGGAATGGAGTGATGTGTCCTCTAGCCGGTACAGAGAAGCAAAACCGACCACATGCATTCTGAACTCGCTGAATGAGCCGCTCAGTTCTGCCCAGCAATCTTGGGCCATACACAGCATCAGCGTAATTGAGTTTTGACAAAACCAGCGCCTCAGTCAGCTGCATGCGTAGCTCCTCAGACAGAAAAGGTCTTATTTTGTATAAAACCTTAAGGCGATAAAAGCATTTTTTTACTGATTCCGCTATATGATCCTCAAACCTTAAGCATTCGTCAAAACTCAGCCCCAGATTACGTGCTACCCTTACTCGCTCTATTTTATTCGCCTTCAGGGAAACGCTCAAATCCTCCGGCAGTTTGCTGAGCAGCTTTTTTGTGCCAAATAGCATGTACTTAGTTTTTAAAGGATTTAGCAGCAAACAATTTTTATCAGACCAGTCAACAATTCTGTGAAGGTCGTCATTAAGATCTTTAAGAGCATTCATGTACGCACTTGGTCTGAATGATATGTATATTTGTAGGTCGTCAGCATAAATGTGATATTTACATTTTTGTATACACTTAACAATGTCCGCGCAATAAAAATTAAAAAGGATTGGACCCAGAATGGTGCCCTGGGGAACACCCCGATCAAGTGGAATAGGCGTAGAAACACATTTGGATCCATCCGCTAAACATATCTGTACTGATTGGCTCCGATTGCTTAAGTAGCTATGGAACCATAATAGTGTGCTTCGATCGAAACCATAGGCGGACATTTTGGATAAGAGTAAATCCACATTTATAGCATCAAAGGCGCGGGAGTAATCAAGCAGAACCAATAGTAGTTCTGCCTTTTCTTGAATATTCATTGTTACACAATTTGCATTTAGCTCGTTCAGCATCGCAAAGTGTGAAATAAGTCCATGTTTCACTAGAATTCGATTTACTCATGTTAATAAATCACTATTACCACTCACAATCACTAACCTCAAAATTCACTTGTTATGTTTACGGAAAGACCGGTGCGAGCGGAATGACACTTCAGTCGGATGAGTTCATATCAACTCGGCAATTCGAACGAGACTGTCACCATGCCATAGACAATTGACGCCAATTAAAAAAAACTAAATGGTACCAGACATTCGCATTCGCGAATGTTCAAAAAATTACATTCGTTACATCACTAATCTGTTTATGAAATTCACAGGGAAGGCTTGTAGTGGATGAGTATACTAGAGAGCATACTAGAAAGTAGGTAATGATAATGAAATGAATTCGTTGAAAATTACATAAAGCGCTCTGATGAACTCAAGAGTGGTAAACGAATTTTTATGTTTTGCGAATGTGGAAGCAAGTTTTGCAACGACGCAATAGGAGAGAAGACAGATTTTTAATCGTAAGTCACGCCAAGACCTCAGCAAGGTCTCAAGCTCAAATCAGGCCTTAAGCTTTCCCTATAAGATATCCAATACGATGATGAAAATATCCAACTTGTTCTCTGGAAGTTATTTCTGTGACAGAAGGATCGAAATTAATTTTATATTAATTAACCTTATATTTTTTTCAGGATAAAAAGTATCGTTTTAAGGAGCTCGATGGCACGGGTGGTTATCGCGTTCGGCTGCGAAGTTAAAGTTAAGCAACTTTCGTAGTGGTCGTTTATTGGATGGGTGATCAAACATCTTCTATCTCGAGTTCCTCCGTAAGGCACATTAAGCCGTTGGTCCCGGCTGCATCTGCAGTCTTTATGGCGGGTTCAGATGCGCACTGGACCCGCGTGGTGGGTCATGGCCCAATCTCCCTATTCCAGCCATAGGGAAGGCCTGTGCTCCAAGCAGAATTAAAGTTTCACAGCGACCATGCAGCTATAGTGTTTGCTAGATAAAATCTTCTTCACATTTCTTCTATTGCATTTATCACGGGGAGTGTTCTGAGGAATTGTTCGGATTAATTCCAGCTGCTGCATTTCGCCATCGTACATCGCGACAAAAATTTCATCCCTATCATCTTGATGCGTGGCTATCCACAACCGTGCGTTTTTGTCGAATTTTTTTACCACGTACGACAAAACTGTGGAATATGTTGTCGCCAGCAGTGTTTCCGGACCAATACGACCCAAAAACCTTCAAAAAAAGAGCGTACTCCTTCCTTAAAGGCCGGCATCGCATTTGTGATACTCCTGGTGTTGCAAGTGTCCACGGGCGACGGTGATCACTTCACTACCATCAGGTGAGCCGTCTGCTCGTATGCCTTCTATAACATAAAAATAAAACATTTAGACTTACACATAGTAATGTTTGCAATTCCTTTGCCCTGGATGGGTAGCACCAGAATTCTGCCCTTCATGATGTAGTCTGCGATAAATTCCATCTTGGGTGTTAGAGAATCCGTCCGCAACCTGAAGTGGTTTAAGTCGGCTCTGGAAAACAAAGGTAAAAGAAATTAATGAAATGTTTCGCACCCACAGAGAAAAAAGTTCATTTTACAGTACGACCAAAAAACTGAATGGACATAGGGACGTTATTTTCACACGTAGAAGAATGGTGATACATTCAGATCTACTCATTCTAGAAAGCCTCTCTGAGTTTGTTGCGCCGGTTCTTTTCAGAAAGGTCTCCCAATTTTGGAACCGGTGGTAGTTTACGGTAGATAGAGTCATGGAACGTAAATAAACTCAAAATTACAAAAAAGAATTTTGAATAAAGTACTTTATTAACTAAATTATCTAATAACTTCGTACATAGAAAATAATTTTTTTTAAAATCTTCCAATGAAATAACCGAACGCTCAATAAAAGTCTTTCGAAGGTAGCTCGACATAATAAAATAAAAAATCATCATTCTGACGATGCAGACCTGAAAAGGCTGTGAAACGTCAATAAATAAATAAAGTTTCGTGCATTAACCCGTCAAAACTAGTTTTATTTAATGAGTGATGTGCGTGAAAACCTAAGAAACAAATACGTAGAAGAATATTTTTTATATCATTAAAAAGAGGAATACATAGAAGTTACTACTTACTTAATTAGTTTATTAATTGTGTTAGCGTTTCTAGTTTACCAGGAATTATAAAAATAAATTATTATTCTATTTTTCATTATGTACTAAAATATAGCATTCAAAGTATCATGAAAAAATCAGCATAATATGTAACTTCAAACGTATGTAAAGTAGAACTCGAATAAAAAGAGTTATTGTGAAGTGAATCGAACCAAACAATGCCGTCCGTGAAAAACAAAATGGCGAGCTACACAGACGGCGCTATAACGGCCATTTTGTTTACAAAGTAAGGGGTTATTTATTATTTAAATCATGTATCATCTTTGTGATTGATGGCTATTTTGTGCAGCAGAAATGAATTAAAATTACCAAGAAGATGACTTCTTGATTATGAAATCATAGTGCTGTATATTCCGTTTAGTTAAAATCTCATCACCCGCTAATCCACGTCATCGACAAACTTAAATAACCCTACTGATTTCGGCCATGTATTTATAATATCAGTTGGACAGCGGCTGTTGACAATCGAGCTGATCATTTCATTGTTTGACTCCCTTTTTACATAAAAAGGAACCATGGGACTGAGACACTGCTGCACAGCCTCATCATTGAACCTACCTTCTCCATAGATACTTAACATCAGCTGCAGTCAGACCCGTCTTTCCCATTGGGCACTTTGGGCAATACAAAGTCAGATCAAATACAAAGTCCCTAGTTCCTGTTAAATCACCAAACGGAAGTCATAGGGGCCCCATTATCCTAATATGCCCAGGGCCTCCAATAGGTTAATGACGGCACTGGCTGCAGTAGATATTCTGGGCCAGGTATAAGAAAAATGAGCTGTCAAAACACAAATCTTCATCTTTACAACTCATCATCTTCGTCTTAACCGCCTTCTTACTTGTATGTGGTGAGAATGGTGTCGGTAAGTCCGTGCAGCTTGATGTTCTTGTAGTTCTGCGTGATGACCACCGGGCCTGCGCCTGAGTCGATGTTTATGGCGGACACGTGCAGGGGTTCCATGGACGGAACCGACAGAGACGGGACCCCTGGAATGAACACGAGCGATATGAACCCTATGAATGTGGATTTAGTAACAAGTTAACGATTTTCAATTTCATAAGCCGTTGGTCCCGGCTGCATCTGCAGTCGTTAGCACCCACCAATCCGCATTGGGCTCGCGTGGAGGGTCATAGCCCAATCTCCCTATTCCATCCATAGGGAAGGCCTGTGCCCCAGCAGTGGGGACATTAATAGGCTGATGATGATGAAGATGATGACGAAATAACTTTCATCCACCAGTCATAGCTTAGGCCTTGAACCTAACCAGGTGCCAAGACCAAGGCTAAGCTGTCTGGCGTAGTTTTCGACTTACACATGTGCTTGTAAAAGCCAAAACTGAATAAATATTTTTTGAATTGAATTGAATAGCCGCTCGGACTGCGGTCCGTGGGATTAATCAGATGACGCTGTAAACGGCGAAGTCCGGGATCTGCTAAAGCGGGTGTGGACCGGGTTGCTTGTCGGAGGCGGGGCGGTTTGACGTATGCTTGCGCGAGTGCACGTCAAAGTATACCTGTACCGACAAGTAGCCCACGGGCTGCGCGCCGCTAGCCGAATGCACCTGCATCGCGAGGGTTTGTTCACAGCAAGCCAACGCGGCGTTGGTCATTGCCGTGGATATCAGGGCTTGTTTACCGGTTAATTTTCAAACATTAATCAGTATCAAGTACATTAGGAGCGTTTTATTTAGGTTTGGCTCTACCTTAACCTTAAAAAACCGGTTTTCTTAAAAAGCGAAATCAAATACGTTTTGAATCAAGTTAGCGGTTTTGAAATGGTTTCATTTTGCTCTTACTGACGGCATCGCCTTCGCCGTTTCAATTCAACTTTATAATGATTTTATGTCAGTTTCTTCCCAACTACAGAGCGAGTGAGTGAAGTAGTGTGTCAGTACCGACACAACTACAAAATGGATGAACTTGACTCACTAGACGCTAGCAAACGTGTCAATAAATGCATCAATCTTTGAGCATTAACAAGTTGTGACTTGATTAGTTCAAACAAAACAAACTTTAAGCGATACCGACGCGTGCACGTGTCGCTCTGGATTAAACCGGTTTATTAAGGTTTTAGGTACCGCTTTCATTTTGGACGCGCTCCGAACGAAACCTTTACTAAAAACCGGTATTACCCTTTATTTACCGGTATTTTCGAAACCAGTTACAAGCCTTGGTGGATATAATGCATTTTTTTCTCCCCGTTATCGTCTCGAGAAGAGGCGACTTTACCTATGGTTTTTAGTGGCCCTGTTCAGGGCGTTAGGTAGGGCCCTGTTTATTTCACCCGACCACAGAGCTGGCTGAAATGAACAGGGAGGAGTCCCACATACCTTCTGTGTATTGCACACGGGCACAGTAGTCTCGAAGAGCTCGATGGTGCAGGTTGTTAACACGTTCGGCTGCGATCTTTGAAGTTAAGCAACTTTCACAGTGTTCGGTCATTGGATAGGTGACCGAAAATCTTCTATCTCGAGATCCTCCATGCTTCGGATGGCACGTTAAGCCGTTGGTCCCGGCTGCATCTGCAGTCGTTAGCACTCGTCAATCGGGACTGGGCCCGCGTGGTGGGTCATAGCCCAAGGGGCTAGGTTAATGATTGCCCACGAGCACTATAAGTGTTATAGACGTCTCTAGTCTCGAGTTCCTGTGCTTCGAAAATTACATTTAGCTATTGGTCCCAGATGCGTCTGCAGTCATTGACACCCACCAAGTCCCACTGGTGCCCTTGATGCACTATAATTAATTGGTCATCATCACCAGTCATTATTCTCTATAAATAAATAAACATTTCCAACACTTACACCAATTAGCCTAGCCCCAAAGTAAGCACTGTAAGGCTTGTGTTATGGGATGCTGGGGTAACGGATAGAATACATATACTGTACATATATAAGTATATTTATATAGAAACTAGCAAACCAGGCGAACTCCGTTTCGCCATCAGATGGCTTCGTTTTATGTAACATTTTTTTTTTTGAAATTTTTCCTGAATTTTCTTTGCTATAAACCTCACGGAGCCCGAGACCTTTCCAACGAATGCAAAACCGTGGAAATCGGTTCGTGCGTTCTGGAGTTATAGCGTCAGGAAGGAAAACCCGACTTATTTTTATATAGTAGATAAATATTTTACATCCATGACTGGAGTACTAATGCTCGTATTCATCACACAAACATTTGCCCCCCACCGGGATTCGAACCCGGGACCTCTCGAGTCGGCGACACCATGAAACCCGGCGTACAAACCACTCGGCCACGGAGGTCGTCTGTGAATGAACTTTAGTTGTAACCGGAAATAAAATGTGACCTCACCTAGTTTCATTTTCCTAATTGCGTCTGGTACAGCTGCTTTCAAACACTCGTTCAACTTTGGATCCTTCTGCCGACATCTGTGGAAGTCTTCAGCTGTAATAGAAGGAAGAAGAGATGTTAGTTCTTATTTCTGCTCAAAATAGGGGGATGATGACGGGGTAAATTAAACGAAATTAGTAAAAATAGTAAGACCACAGAACACAGTGTTCAAATCCCAAAAAATCTATGAGTTATTTACCTATGTAAATAAAACTCCGAGATCAATGGCAACGGTTATGGTTTTATTGAAAAATAATATTGAACTTAAGTGTATTCATAACAAACTAAATACCGTGATTCAGAACAATCATAGAAAAATATAGAACACAACAGTAACGCCATCCTTCGATGACTTTGAAATCTAAATAATATTATTACAAACTTAACACACGAAAGAGGTTAGAAGGGTGATCATAGACCATTTCTAAGAAAACCAATGTTGCCGGCTCGGCCCCACTACACTTCCACCTAGTAGATAATAGCCAATCAAATGACGCGACATCACAAGGCCCTTTCTAACCTGTGTGTTCCGTGAGTAAGACCAAGATGATGACGACATTTCTTATAATTAATTATATATAATTAAATGTATGAAAAAAAATACGTGTCCAATACTTTTTGATAATATGCCTGATAAAGGAAGATAACATAGCTAATCATCACTCCTATTTCTACTTAAAGATGCCACTATGAAACTAACGGCCTCTCTCAAAGAAGTTTATTTACTTCTTAGTTTAGATGAAGCGGATATATTTTGCTACCCTTTTAACAAAAAATTAAAAAAAAAACATCTTTTATTTTATATCCTTCGATTGAATTCAAGATCTTTTTTTGGGTAAAAAATAGTCATTGTCAAAAAGAGACACAAAGAAAATTTTACTAGAGTCTGTGCGGAAAGATAATGGGATTTAGATTGGAGGGCGATGTAGTGCTTTTCTACCGTATTTGTAAGGTTTTACCCCTTTTAGACATGATTAAATACAAAAAACCGCAAAAAATCACAACAACAAACAAATCCGTATCAATACAAAACTTTGACGTTTTACAGATTGCTGGGTTTGATTGCCAAATAAAAATCTTAATGTTAGTTCCGTTTTTCGCAACGCCCATTCTCTTTCCGCACAGACTCTAGAAAAATTCCAAGCGGACCTGCATAGGTATTCTGTATGATTCAATCTCATTTATGGTCTAATCCATTCGGATTTCTGGTTCTACAGACATAGCGACATTTTGCCGTTTAATAGCGTAATGCATATCAAATGCCTAAAATGGCAGCTACCAAAATGGGAAGTGAGATTTTATTTTACAGAATCGCAGTAAAATTGTTTCTTTTCTACGTAGTATCAATTAACATTAATATACATAACTAGCGGCCCGCCCTCGCTTCGCTTCGGTGTAGAGCTGAAGTGTAGACTACAGTTTTTGTTATCAGGCTTGTATTATACACAATGACATTCATCTATGATTCTTCTTATACCTGCATGCAAAGTCTCAGTCCGATCGATTTAAAATTGACAAAGTTTCATGCTAACTTTCATTCCGTAATTTATCCCCTTGGGGGTAGAATTGATCAAAATCCTTTCTTAGCGGATGCCTACGTCATAACATCTACCTGCATGCTAAATTTCAGCCCTATCCGTCCAGTGGTTTGGGCTGTGCGTTGATAGATCACCATGTCAGTCAGTCAGTCACTTTTGAGTTTTATATATATATTGTTAGCAGAAGACAGTGTTACGTTGTGAAGTGGAAGGGGTCGTTCTATATAAGCGAGAGCGCGCGCAGTTCGGTGTCACTTACTGTTGAGAGCTCGTGCTAAGCGGAAGCTCTACCCGTTTGTCGGTCGGATTGCCTTATTTTCAATAAAAATATTTCTGTAAATCTAGTTAATTATCGTAAAAGAAAAATAATTTTATAAGAGTGAAATAAAGGGTGGTTTGTGTAACTGTTTTTTTTAATAATTTCCTCTTCTGATCGCTAAGATCAGAAGTGGGATGCTTAAAATTCGCGCGTCCTGGTTCGTTCTGCTTCCTGAAGAAAATAAGGCAGTTCGATATTTCAAAAACAATCTTTTTATTTAACGGTTTGTGTATTTATCGTCGTAAAAAACGAACATCCGTGATTATTTTGTGAGTTTTTATGTAAGTGATATGGTGGTGTGATTATAACTACAATGGTGAGTTCGTTCCAATTTTCATTACTTCCTAAAGTGAATCGTAAAAGTTTAGCTTGATTTTGTTGAAATTATTTCGTATACTACCCTACTAAATTTTCTCAAGAGAAAAATCACTTTTCTTTTTTTGATTGCTTCTACCGTCATTAGTATTTGTTCTCTTTATTTTCTTGGTAACATAGCTATTCGATTTCCTTGTTATAAAAGCATATAAAGGGAACATGTCTGATGATAGACGAAAAAGTAGAAGTCGTTCTAGACATCATAACCCGCAGTCTAGTGAACGCGAATCACGTCGTCGTCCCCGTTCCTCTAACAAAGAAATAATGCAACAAATTTTGGAAAGGTTGGCATCGTTGGAAGAACAGCACCATCCACCGCAACGAAGGGAGTCGAATGTGAGCACTCCTCGGGCACCGGCTCCGGTAACCGAGCCTGCAACGCCGCCGCGCGCGACTATGGCCGACCCCGCGATCTCGCTTCAGGGGCGTGCAGAGCGACCGCCTTCGGTGATCACATCTTCACCGGGACGCTCTGCAGGCGTCGTGGTGGACCACTCCAGTGCTGCCGATCGCATTATCGATGCGATACGCTCCATAAACATGCCGGTGAGATCTAACCATGCTTATTTCATATCCAACTTTGATCCGAGCGTCAATGATATAGATACCTGGTGCGAGGAAGTAGATCGCGCTAGGGCCACTAATAATTGGAGTGATAATGAGTGTCTGTCTCGTGTTGGTAACTGTTTACAAGGTGATGCTAAATCGTGGCTCAACGAATGGGTATCCAACGACCGTACTTGGAGCAACTTTAAGAAGGAATTTAAGCCCTTATGTCCAAGAAAGCCAGACATCGCGAATATCTTGTACGAAGTTATGAGCACCAATTCTGATAAGTTTCAAAAATACGCAGAATACGCCCGTCGTTCTTTACTGAAGTTACGTATTGTTAAAGGCTTAAGTGAAGAGCTGATGTCAGCTATAGTAATACGGGGCATCACTGACCCACAGATCCGCGCTTCCGCTACTAACGCCAAACTAATGCCAAATGAATTGGTAGAGTTTCTATCTATTTACGTAAAGCCTAATACTTCCAACTCTAATAGAAATTTAAATATCTCCCAAATAGATCGTTCCTTTAAAAATAATCGAATAAGCGATCGTAAGAGACGTTTCGAAGTAGGTAGATGTTTTGTGTGTGGTGAACGTGGACACAAACAGTCAAATTGTTATAAAAAACGAAAGATAGCAGTTAGTAGTGACGTCGGTACCGGTAGTAATTTGAAAACTCAGTCTGTTCATAACCTAACTAAACCAGAGCCATATAGCTTTTGTAAAAAGCCAGGTCATAAAGGTCAGTCTCGTGCGCGCGCGCCTAGCGAATAGTCACCGTGCGACAATGTCCGTAAGTACGATTAAGTGTGCTAATTGCAATGTTGTGATATCGGAAGTGCTCTCATTTATTCGTAGTAGACATGACGTTATGGATAATGAAAGTTTAATCAGTATATGTGTTTCTGCATTTTCTGAGGAAGAGATCAACGAAGCCAAGAATTTGTTGTTTACGTCGGTAAAGACGAATCGCAAAATGATATCCAGAAGAAAAGACAAAAAACAGAAAGACTTGGAAGACGTGATAACGGTATTTAAAACAACTGATCCTGATCAGCTGCCTGTATTTGTTGCGTATCATTTACACAAATTACCGCCTATAAGTTTCGATCACGTAGATGTTACAAAATTGCTGAGGGATATACTGGTTTTACGGAATGAAATAGAGAGTATAAAGAAGGATTATGTGACCAAAGAATATCTAAATTCATCCGTGCAAAATTTACCAAATCCGTTATTTAATCTTAATGTGAATAAAATAAGGGGAGGAGGGTACGCAAACATGGACAGCGGGCCGTTCGGTTTGTCACCGTTGTCTACGGAGGTTGAGGCACTGAGCGACACAGTGTCACACAGTGGCGGCGACAGCGCACCGAAATATCGCTCTCTCGTTCGCACCAGCACGTGTGACCTAGCTGTGGAAACAGGCGATACGACTGCACCTGTCAACACAACTGTGTTGGAAAACAAAGTTAAATCAGCTGATTGTTCACCAGTAAAGCAATTACCAAAAATATCAATGGCCGCAGTACTAAAACAAGGCGAATGGCCAAAAGTGAAAAATAAGGCTGATGATGATTGGACACTGGTTCAAAGAGTAAGGTACAAGAATCGCTTGGACGGAAAAACGGGAACAGCTATCACTTCCAGTACGGGAAATTTTAAAGCGGCGGATACAAAAATACCGCTTTTTATATCAAATGTAAATAAAGATACTACTAAGGAAGACATTTGCAATTATATTCTTAAAATGACAAATGAAACAGTTCAACTCGAGAAAATTAATATGAAATCAGAAAGGCCCTACAATGCTTTTAAATTGTTTGTGACAAAACATAAAATTAGTGCGTTCTTAGATGACAAGCTGTGGCCGGAAGGCATACGTTTTCGTCGCTTCGTTTATTTCAAAACGAATAAAGAAAGGGAAAATTCCCAGGTAAGAAGTGAAGAAAATCCTAACACTAATGGATAATAGCTACACGAATGTAACTTTTTCATCCTTCAATTGCAAAAACGTTGTTCGTTCTTTGGACTGCGTAAGGAAGATATGTGGTGTTTCTGACGTTGTCGCTTTGCAGGAGACTTGGCTTCTACCCCACGACGTGCCGTACCTTGGAAGCATCGATAAGGACTTTGCGTACACGGGAAAATCTGCCGTTGATATTTCTGCAGGCGTTCTCAAAGGGAGACCATACGGCGGTGTTGCGTTATTGTGGAGAAAATCGGTGTTTCGTTCGGTTTCTGTTATCTCTTGCCACAGCGATCGTGTA